GTCTAAATATTTATTTTTCAACATTTTAAAATAATTTTGGCATTTACAATAACATATTTATGACTGAGGACAGTATTTTAAAAATAGCCTTTCAGTACATCAGCTGCTTCATGATTTTGCTAAGTGCCTTTAGTTCTAAGAATTACTTAACTATCTTTGCCTGGTCACTCTCTTCCAGCCATTTTATACTGTATCTCCTACTCAATCTGTTACATCTTTTTTATGAAACCCATTCCTATTTTATGTTATTTTTTTTTGGCGTTCTCTTTTCTAATTCTACAATATTATTTGAAACAGCATAACCTTACCTGTAGGCACCAACCAGTACCACATCAACACTTGATGCAAAAGCACATAATTTTTGTGGTAACTCTGTACAGGATGACAGATTCATATACACAGTGAAGCATTAAAATTTTAATTAACCTATGTCTCAGTCATTCTACCATTCCTTTCCTAAAGCTTCACGGACCCTTGCAAGCCAATACAAAAAAATGTAGCTTTATTAATTGAGGTTGGAAATTTTCTGTTGTCTCTTTCAGTCAACCCTCAGCACCTTCACGTGAAAACAAGTGCACACGTTGAAGAACATTAAACAGCTGCTACTGCTAAAGCAGAGATCAGCTGTACCCAAGACTTGCTGACTCCTTCAAAAGGTCTCTTTGATGAGGCACTGCTGTATATTTTGTGTACATGCCCCATTAAAAGCAGAACTGCTACATCATGGTAAAGGAATCTCTTACTGTAGGACAGAAGACTCCAATTTCCTTTATTTTAAATACAGTGCTGAACAATTTGAGCTGTAAGGTTAAACAAACACTCTGTCCAGGTCTGTTATATATGATGCATTCTAGACTATAAAGGGGATCTCCAATAGCCTTATAGCAAAATGAGCATGTCATCTGTTAAAAAATCTGCCTATGATGGGCCTATCAGCTTTCAGTGCTTCTAAGTTTGAAAGCAAAATGGAGATTGGATTTGAGACTGTTGTTTACGGGAATTACAGGCAGTGTACCAGCAAGGCAGTAGTGTCCACTATTCTCTTTCTAACAATATGCAGAGCCAGGCTCCATGCACTGCAGATGTCAGAAAATGTCAGTGTAGTCATAGCCACCTCTGAGGATCCACTCTGTTACTGGGAGTGTATTGATACAGCAATTTCACTGAGTTAATAGCTTTTTTCTAATACTGCCAGGCATACCTGTGCAGAACTAGTACTGCACACATTGCTGTTCCCAAACAGCCCAGCAGCCTATCCAAATGAGAAAGTATATTGATGCTTCAGAGTGATTATATTCTCAGAAATTTCTACAGCAACTGGTGGGACCTCACGGATACTTCACAGACCTACAAGTACTTTGCATATCACAAAATTCTTTCAGCATACCCCTTTGTTAATTGCAAGGCATTTTTACCTATCTACCATTACATATGTTCTAATTAGGAAAAAAAAAAAAAAAAAAAATTCACACTCATGTGCTAAAATCACCATTGGGAGAAAAAAAAGAAAAAAAGAAAAAAAAAAGAAAAAAAAACCCACAAATTTAAATTTTAGAATTTCCAACTTTAAATCTCTGCTCAGGTGCCCTCCCAAAGAAATTTGAAGAGTAAATTTCATTATACTGCCTTATTCCTTCAACCCAGTCTTCCACTATTCTCAATATCAATGGTCTCCTTCACCAAGAATTGTCTTTCTAATGAGCGATGCTGAACAGTAGTTACATTACTTAATTGTATTTCCATTAAAGTCCAAAGACTGTGGGGGGGGAAAAAAAAAAAAAAAAAAAAAAAAAAAAAAAAAAAAAAAAAAAAAAGTGCTCTGTCAGCCTGGGACCTTTGGAACAGAATTAGCTATGCTGCACTTTCTCAAGGGTGGCAGTAGATAACTTGCCTCAGTATAATAGATAGTGCATGGAAAAACTATCAATACATAGTTCCTTGAGCAGCAGAATTATTAACACCTCCTCCAGGTGATGTCTCCACTTATTTCTAAAAAAATACAAATCCCAAATGAAGGTTACTAGATTCCTAGACTGTCCCTCTTCCCAGTCTCTTCAGATTCACCATACAGTAGGTTTGCCCCATAGCATTTCCCTTAATAAGAGGAGTAACAGGGTTTTACTTAAAAATGTAGCAGCTCATCTTTGTGAAATCTTAAGGAAATACTTCAGACCTATATCCTTAGCAAAATTTGACTGAAACCTGCATCAAAATTATTACAGGTGAGAGCTCAGGAGAAAGGTATGGTGATTCTATATACCTAGTTTCTGCAGGAACATAGGCTAAAAATTCAACAGAACTAAGAACTCATCTGGTCCCATTATAGTGCAACTAAACATAAAATGGCATACTACAATTTACTGCAAACTTAGTATAATCTGGCTTTTCCCAGGCTACCCTAAGGCACAGATTCCCCAAAGGAACATCCAAAGAGCACAGCTGGAGTAGAACCAAGTGTCTTTTAACTACTACTTCAGCTTGCTGTCAGCTAGAGCCTCCAGATTCCCTTTCCACAGGGCTGCTCTCCAGCATCTCATCTCCCAGTCCATACATGCAGCCAGGGTTGTCTGTCCCTGGTGCAGATGCTGGCACTTGTTCTTTTTAAACTCCACATAGTTGGTGACTGCACAGCACTCTAATTTTGGTTAGCAACTTTAAATTAGTTACTTCTGATAACAGTGGGATAGTTTATAACCTTCACTGTGATAAGGTCTGTAATTACCAGGATCTTCCTTCTTGCCCTTCTTGAAAATTTCCATTATCCTTTCCAGCTTCCAGTCAACTAAGACCTCTCCAGATTCCCAACACCATTGAAAAATAGTTGAGAAAGCTTTTGTGATGACATGAACCAGCTTTTTCAGTATTCTTGGATGAATCCCATTGGGCCAAATAGCTGAAGTGCATCCAGCTGGAACAGTAAATTCCTTACAAGTTTGGAGTTGAGCTTAGGATGATTTATCCTAAAGTGTTTTCGAATGAATTATCACCTCCTTTCAAAGCAATTGTTCTCAGTCAAATCATCAGACATAACTTTAGAAATAAGCTCTTAAAAAGAAATCCAAATCTATCTTCTAGTTTAAAACAAGCATATGGTGAATACTACTTACAGATATTTACTATCTACACTCACTGCTTGCTGCAGCTTATCTCTATAAGCAGATATCTCAGGACTGGGCTTTTTGCTGTTTTTATTTATTTGAGCAAGCTAACCTCACAACTATCAAAATACAAAACTGTGGAAATTGTCATCACACAAACAAAAACAAACAAACAAACAAACAAAAACCAAACAAACAAAAAACCTCTTGACTGTTACTAAGGAAAATAACTCTACCATAGCAATTTTTGAATGACTGTCAGAGCAAGGCCTAACAAAAGTAAGTATTCCTTAGGGCCTACCTAGTCATAGTCTAATCCAGCATTTCACCTACTTCTACCAGTTCCAACCATGTTAAAATGTCTATAGCTTTACTAAACACAAATAATCAAGTACACTGATCAAAAAAACTGCTAGTTACTCTGCTTTTTTTTTTCTTTATATATATATATATATATGTATGTATGTACGTATGTATGTATGTATGTATGTAAAATCAAAGAATCATAGAATGGCTTTGGCTGCAGGAACATAGAAGATTCCAACTCCCTACTGTGGAGAGGGCTGCCCATCAGCCCGGCCTTGAACACCTCCAGGGATGGGGCATCTACAGCTGCTCCGGGTAGCCTGTAACAGTGCCTCACCATCTTCTGAGTAAAGAATTTCCTCCCAACGTCTAATCTGAATCTTCCCCATTTTAGTTCAAAACCATTTCCCTTATGCTCTCACTATCTGCTGTGTAAAAAATTGGTCTCCCTCCTGTTCGTAAGCTCCCTTTCAGAATTGCAAGGCCATAGTGAGGTCACCCTGCAGCCTTCTTTTCTCCAGGCTGAACAAGCCCAGCTCTCTCAACCTGTCTTCAAAGGAGATAATCTTCATGGCCTCCTGATAATCTTCATGGCCTCCTCTGGACCCACTTCAATAGATTCCTATCTTTCTTGTGCTGGGAGCCCTGTACCTGAAGGCAGGTTTAATTGTAAAGGATGTAATGAAAATCACCTGCTGCAGCTTGGCAAAGCTATTCCAGTTTTGTACTTTTGAGCAGAGAGTGCTGATTTCAGTGATTTTTGAGATAACTAGTTTTGGTATAGATATTCAGAAAACTATGTTTCTCCTCCTCAATCATAGCAATTTCAAAGAGGTGATAATTTCCACAGATTAAATGCCACTACATGCCCTCCATGCTAAAAGTCATATTTACGTCTTAATCCTGAGACCAGGAGAGGCACTTCTGAATTTCACTATTGAAGACAGCTGCTTCCTGTGCTGACCATCCTTCCTTGTTTTCACATAGTAACAGTCATGTGAAACCAAACAGGGACTGACAGTAGCAGTAGTAGTAAATCACCTATAGATCATAACCTGCTGGATCACCTTTCACCTAAGAGAGACGACTAAGCAGTGTCCACGTAGCTGCCTAGAGAAGAGGTTAGTAAACTTTATTATGCAAATATAAGATTTATCAAAGGAGGAATTAACCTGAAGAACATCCCACAACCTGACAAATCACAGACTATTCATTCTGTGAAAAGTAGAGTTGAATGACTATTTCTGGTTGTTAAGGTCAACAAGATTCCTACCTTCATCTCCCAAGAATACTTGACAAAATAAGAGAAATACCAAATTCCAGTCCACTGCCATAGCCTAGAGCCATCTTGAGCTACCTCTGAGTCACGCCCATAATCTTTTCTACCTTCAGAAGAATTACACAAATCAGAATATATCAATTAAACTGAAACTAAATACATGAAGTGATGGAAAAATTAATCAAATAATGCTACTCCGTGGAACATCTATGCATTATGCTCAGAGACACGTTTGCATTCGAATTTTCCTGTTTATTGAGAAAACTAATAATTTATCATTACTTAAAAACAAATGTACTCAGAATTCATATACTTACCCTCTGCTTCTCAGGGTCAACATATCGAATGCCAAAATAATCCTTTTCCAGCAAGCTGTAATAGTTGCAGATGTGATCTATGAGAAACTGACCTTTCGTTTCCCTCTGTAAAAAGAGAAGGAATTGATATATTATTCTGCATATTCTAATTCACTATCTATAATAACACTTAAACAAAGTGTTTAAAAAAACAGCTCATGATGTTATTCACAAGAGAATGTGAGTGTTTATTTCCTCTCAAAGATGCAGCAGATTAGTAATCAGTGTACTCCCTGCACATTTCCAAAGTGATTCCTTAAGAAAATGCTATTACTACTTCAGCCTCAGGAAAACTCATGCCACTCTAACAGATGCTCATTTATTACGTTCAGTTATTATTGGTAGCCTCATTTCTACCTGATGCTATGATGGCATAACAGATACCCATTTACATACAGAATTACAAAATGGTGTGTAGCTTTTTGAGTCCCCAGGCTTGCAAGCAGTTTTGGCAGTTTACTGGATGCTTATACAACGCACACAGAAAAAAATAGATAAATAAATAAATAATCACAGCACTACAGTAACAGTAATGTGCAGAATAATGACCTCAAGTTTTATTCTTTGCATTGTCACTGGGCAGCAACAGCCGTAAGGAAACCAGCTCTACACACAAACTCATTGTTTATTTCTGCTTTCTTTGATCCTCATAGCATTGCATATCTCTCCTTAATTTACCAGCTGATATGGAGAATCTACAGGAATCTTCACATTTCTTCTTAGTAAAGAAATGTGATTTTTTTTTTTTTTTATTCTATAACCAGCAAACTGGTTCATGTAAGCATTAACACTGGGCCAAAAGCTTACACCTAGAACTGTCAGTTCTTAGGAGCCACAGGTATTTCCCTATGTCTCAGTTCCAGATCTCTGCATGTCTGCCCCTCACTCCACCTGAGTCTTTGAACTTAATACTTTAATGTCTACAAAAGTGAAACTACATGGAATGCACAATCACGACATATAAAAAATATTTAACTGTTCCTCCAAATGGTTCCTTGAAAACTAAATGCTATGCCTTACTCAATCTTCCTTTAAGAAGCTAAGAGACAGTCTAAACTATGTGAACAACATAGCTATGCAAAAATTAAGAGGCAGCTCCTGCATTTCGCAAGGTCTTTTACAAAACTGGAAGTCAGTACCTCCTGGGTTTCACACAGGAGTGGCTAAGGCAGGAAAAGCACCGCAACCAGTCCAAGGATGTGCTCTGCAGTGCATAGGAGGGAATGGCAGCATGACCGCTACAGGCAGGTGAGACCTACTGCTTCCCAAAGAAAACACAAGATACAGAATCCCAAAATTACAAAATCCTATGGGTTGGAAGGGACACCTAGAAATCATCCAACCTCCCCTGCTAAAGCAAGTGCCCTAAAGAAAGTTGCACAGGAAACTGTCCAGGTGGGTTTTGCATACCTCCACAAAAGGACACTCCACAAACTCTCTGGGCAGTCTGTTTCCAGTGCTCTGTCAACCTCACAGTACAGAAGTTCTTTTTCATGTTCTGATGAAACTTCCCATGCCTGTTGCCCCTTATCCTGTCACTGGACACCACCAAAAAGAGCCTGGCCTCATCTACTTGATACCTGCCCTTTAGGTACGTATAAGCATTACTGAGATCCCCACTAAGCCTTCTCTTCTCCAGGCTGAACAGCTCCAAGTTTCTCAGCCTTTGTTCATAAGGGAGATACTTCAGGCCTCACATAATCTTTGTGGCCATCTGTTGGACTGTCTCCAGTAGTTTCTTGTCTTTTTTGAACTGGGGACCTCACAACTAAATACAGTACTGCAGCTTCAAGACTGAAGTGTTAAACAAATAAGCTCTATTTTAATAGGTATTCTGTTACTTTTTCAATTAATAAGACTTTCTGACATAGATCTAGTTCCTGTACATCCATTCCATTCCATTCAATGAACTAAATATAAAGCATTCTCAGTTAAGCAACCACCAGAGTGCTGAACCGTTCCCTGTGTGTCCTGGGGGCTGGGGGACTGACCCTGTTCTTGGCCCATGGACTTTCTCTCCTCGTGAGATCACCTCCAGCCACACTTGAACTGTTCATTTCTCCCCAAGTGTCTTTTCATGGATGTGATGCCTCTGCTTCCCCTCCTACAACAGAAGCTACCTACTCTCACCACAACTTCCTTTTGCTTCCTTCCACTTCTCACATATCTAACCCTCTCCTGCAAGTCCTTTGCTCTTCCATGTACTACTTCTTGCCCAAAGGATATCACTACCTTGTTTGTGCCATGTATTTCTGCACTTTGTTTTCCTTCTTTTAAATAGTATTAAGGGATGTTAACCCAGTGTGTTTCTGTACATGCTTGCTCAACTTCATGCTTTCTTTGCACCTTGTACTGCTTTCTTTCTCCCTGCAACATAGCTGCAACTCATTTCCTTCTGTCAGTGTTTCTCTACAGTCTCCAGACATTTTTATAAATTACTTGTTTGCTGTTAGAAAACATTAACAGGTACAGTGACTTTTCACACTACAGTTACAGGCATGCTAGTGACAGCATAGAGATGAATTTCCCTAAAAGGCAAAGCCTGGATAAAAGACTGGAAAGCACAAGAACAAAACTGCTGTTCTTGTGATTGAGAGAAAAAAAAATCTCCTATAGGGCAGCCATATCCCAGTGAAGCATTTTCTCTCTTATAATCCTAGAAGTCTCTGCAAATTTTTGTGACTATGCTATGATGAAGAGAATCAAAATATTAAGACAAAATTGCACTGTGACATTTCAATACATAGGCAGTAAGAAAAAATGTGAAAGAAATGCAAATGAAATTGCAGATCCACAGAGTTTTAAGATGAATATACAGTGAACAAAACAGGAATGGGAAATAAAAGCTCCTGAGTGACTCATGTATAGATAAACACAAAAATAGATTTTATTGACAACAGTGTATAAAATAAATCCATTTTTTTAGAACACTGTAAAAGATGACAATGGACTATACACGTTTTCTTCTGACAACACTAAAGCGTGTTACTGGAAGAAGAGTCAGTAAATTTATCAGTTTCTATAGGCTCACATTATGTAAGTCATTCACTTAACAAGAGATTGGCTTCATCCACATAAATAACCACAGAAAATATATGAGTTACTGCAGAATGAGATAAAAGGCTAGGACACTTACTGTGATTTTCTGTCCAACAACAAAGCTACCTTCTTAAATGAACTGCTGTCCTCATTTTCTTGCTTGAAACGTTGATGATAGAAATGAGTCAAACAAAAAAGAGCAAACAAAAGCCTCTGAACTCGATTGATGCTCTAGGAATCCTTAATTCCTCCACAGATAATAAACAGGAGTGGTTAATAACTCCACCTTTGGTTAATATATACGTCAGTTAATAGTGCTATTCACTCAGGCTCCAAGTTCCACTTGATTTATTACCAGACAATAGAAAAGATTCTAAGTTGATAAAAGCACCTAAATACACACATCATATAATGACTGTTGTTACAAGAAACACTATGTTAACTACTCCACTATTATGATTTTAAAATACTTGCTTTTTAAATGAAATCAAGATCATATTTCATACTCAGAGAGAAAAAAATATTGATGTACACATAGCACCTTAAATTTCAATTCAAAACAGATAGGTTGTTAAGAGGGGTGAGCAATGGTTGTTCTTTTTGTTCTCCAAAAACATAATCCATAAACATTTTCTAGATAGCACTAACAATGCTCCAAATTCTCAAGAGCATTAGCATCTGATAACCTTTGCTGTCTTCTGTATTCTTTGATATATTTATTACATATTATAGGACAAAAAAAAAAAAAAAAAAATTAAATCCATAGCTTATCCTAATTTGTAAAAGAAGATGGATAAATTAAATTAAGAACTGCCAGTCATCCACAACAGAGCACAAGAATGGATTTGGGTCACAGAATAATTAATATAAAATATTGCCTGAAACCTCACACAGTTGCTATGTGGCTTTCCAATTAAATGATTTTTTTATTTTTATTTTTTTTTAAGTATTCTACCAACTCAAAAAAATATTTTATGCTACATTTCAGTACACTGACAGAACACGACAAAAATGACATAATGTAAAAGCCATTATCTGAAACAGTATGAAAGAAATGTCAGCAATAGATCATAGGAATCTGAGAGCAAAAACCAAGTCAGATTTCTAAAGTCTTCAGGGTAGGTAATTATACAATATCTCAACCAGAAACTATCAAGTATTCTCAAGCAGAAAGCAACCCAAGCAGAAATAACTGGCACCAGAGTGTATATGCAAGAGGGCCAAAATGCCATGGATTTTAATCAGTACATATTTTTTAATGAGAGAATAAGAAGTTATTTAATCAAGCCACTTTTTTTTTCCTAGACCTTTCAATTCAATTATAACATTTAGTTAACTCCACTGAGTTATACTTACTTTCACATTTCTGTGCTCCTATGAATACTGTTTTTAAGAAGCTTTAAAGTTTCATAATGGAGCCCTTCCACATGTGTACATAAAAACAGGTCTTTGGGGACTCCTATAAATAGTTTGAAGCATGGCTATTTTTTCTGTTTAAATAAGTAGATATAGACAAGATGGATATGTTTTTCCTAAAGCTGCATTTGAATATCTGACCTTAATATCACTAAAATCCCAAAACAAACCAACACACATGGAAGGGATATAATACCTTGCAAATGACATAGAACACATATCTCATAGAAGATCGACTTGCAAGTAACTGTGAAAATTTGCTTTTTTAAGCTGCATCTGGGAAATAATCAAGCAAATCAAGGGACTCTTTTCTATTCCAAAAAAAACATAATCATGCAGTTCTGCATCAATAGACGCACAAGACAATCCTGCTTGCTGTTTCCTTCCCAAGCTCTAGGAACTGATGAAGACAACGCAGTGATTCTATATTATCATGGCCAGATACTATTATTACTATTTCCATTTCTGTTATTCTGAAAATTTATGATTGAGCATTCCAGTTCTGCCATAACTCTGTTATTATGCAGAAACTAATCCAAACAAAGGTCTCAGTGGTTCCTGGGCACTTTCAATCTAACACAAAAGTAATAACCCAGTCTTCAGCTTGCTTC